CCTCCTTCCGCCGCGCCCTAAAGACATGGCTTTTCCAACAAGCGGGATTGGCCTAGGGGAATTTTAGTGGGGTTTTTTAAGGGAAATTTTAATTTTTAGGCCACTGCAAATATTTCCTGTTAATCTGGTTTTAAATTGATATTTACTGTAATGTTGGTTTTATAAGGCTGTCAGCCGCCCTGAGTCCGGTAAGGAGAAGAGCGGGATACAAATCAAATAAATAAATAAAAATAAATAAATAAAACCCCAGAAACAGAAAGTCTCGAAGCATCACCGCTCGCCTCTCTGCTGTTATCACAAATTCCTCGCCCGATTTGTTTAATACACCACAGTGTATTTTGATGGGCAGCCAACAACGTACGAGGGGAACTTCTAGTTCTTATTTTTATCACACGGATCTTTTCAGTTTGCCAATTAGCTGATTAGCAATCGCTGACAAACCCTGACTCCAAACATGATGCATCAGGCTAGCCTGGCAGTCTCATTTTGTTCCAAGGGATTATTCTTAGAAAGCAAATGGCATCAGTCAGAAAATGTTCTGATATAAGGAAGAAATGCATATTTTTTGCAAGCTATCCTACGCGATGCAAAACAAAATGTACTGGATATTTTATTTGGAGGAAATTTCCAGACCGATCTTCCTGCCATTGCAATGGCTTTCTATAACTCTGCTACTCTTCAAGATACCAAAGTTATTATTATTAATATTATTATTATTATTACTCCCTGGAAATGCCAGGAATTAAACTATGGATATTTTTTTTAAGTACAAACATATCCATTAGTTACAGCCATCACTCCAAGGTATTTTTTAATTATACATTGCTTTGCGATTTTAAAAAGCCACTGGCAGATACCATCTCCAAACACACATACTTTCCTCTAGTTCCGTGGTTCTCAACCTTTTTAATGCCGCGACCCCAACCGGTCGTAGGTCGAGGACTAAACCGGTCGTAAGTCGAGGACTAAACCGGTCGTAAGTCGAGGACTAAACCGGTCGTAAGTCGAGGACTACCCAACCGGTCCTACGTCGAGGACTTTCCCTGCCCGGGAGCGCCGCGCATGCGTGGTTCCGCCCCCTGCGCCGGCCGAGGCGTAGCTGGCAAGCGGCAGAGACGGAGCAGGCCGACCACCAGATGGCCCAGCTCAAGGGAGGTAAGGCACCCGCCGGAAAAGGGGAAAAAATGGTGGACAGCCTTGCTTGGCGACCCCCGTGAAATGGTCGATCGACCCCAAATGGGGTCGCGACCCATAGGTTGAGAACCGCTGCTCTAGTTGGCTTCCTGAATTCCTGTGACGATCCATTTGCTGTTTTTCCTTCCCCCCCCCCATGACTTTTCCATGCAATTCCACATATAAGGTCATCTTATCTTACGCTCCCCTTGGGGTAGCTCAGTGATCTGCCTACTCTTTTTACTGAAATCCCAAGATCACATTGCCAAAATCTGTGACACAACTTTTAAAGGGTTGGTTTTCCTTTCCTTTTTTTTTCTTCTTCAAAACAGCCTCGCTTTTAAGAATCTAGTTTTGCACAGTTCACGGCTTCGTAGCCATGCCTGGTCACCGAGTGCGGGAAACGTCCAATGAGATCGGTACCTCGGTCATGCAGAGCTAGGAGGACCCGTTCGTAGAGGCAGGCTCTGTAGAGATCTCCAGGGATAGGCTTTCCCGCCCAGCAATCTAGCTCCAACTTCTCTGGGTCAGGAGCATGGGGGTCTGGCTCTGCCAAAATGTAACGGTACCCATCCTTATTAAAAGGGTGCTCCAGCGGATAGCCATGGGGTGGAAGGCGCTGAGCAGAGAACAGAGGATCACTGTGGAAGCAAAAGGCATCAGTCAGTGGCAGATCTCTCTCAGCCTTCCGAGCAATGAGAGAGGAATAGATCCTTTTCGATTCATCAGTCTTGTTCACCATCGTAATTTTAATTTATTCCTTCCCTTCTAGGCGTACCACAATGTGGCCAAGTATCTAAGGCAGGGGTAGGCAACCTTGGCTCTTTTAGGACTCGTGGACTACAACTCCCAGAATTCCTGAGCCAGCATGGCTCAGCTTGGAAACTTCTCCCTTTCCCCTCAGCATGGCTGGCTCAGGAATTCTGGGAGTTGAAGTCCACGAGTCATAAAAGAGCCATGGTTGCCTACCCCTGATCTAAGGTAAAGCAGAAATAATAAAAACACGAACGCCGCCAAAGGTGATTACATGATCCAGGGACTCTGTGGCCATAATTATGATCCAGCTGCCACTGAACTTTGATCGCATGATCAAAGGGAGGCTGCCAATGGTCGTAAATGTGGGGTACGGTCGCAAGACGGCTTTTTTTCAGCGCTCTTGTAACTTTGAACAGCCACTAAACAAATGGTTGCAAGTCAGGACCTACCTGCATGCAGAAGGATATGAATTATATCTCCTTTTCCACCCTTTCCTTATCCACCAAATTCTCAGGACTTACCTCCGCGTTTTCTTGGCTGTTCCTGTAGTTCCTCCCTCTTGCTGCTTGCGTTTGGCCCCCCTTCCTTTCCCACTGGTTCCTGGCACAAGACCCCCTTGGGAAGAGAAACACCACAAACGTGTGTCAGCCACTGATATGATTGGGGAACTGGCCCTAATCCCCTTGAGTATCTCTGAACCTCAACAAAGGTTCTGCTTCCAGGTGGAAAGCAGAATCTCACTGTTCTAAGAAAACAGCATATGTCTGGTTCCCTTCCTGGCCTGTCCTAACTTGGGAATCAAAAGTATTTTCAGCGAGACCCAAGCAGCACCATCATGTTTGTCACTGGTCTTGACAGTAAATCAAATAACCATACCATACCATAATTAACTGAGACTTAATTAGACTTAGAAGACATTTAGTCACACAGTTGCTAGCCCAGCTCAAGCATCCATCCGCTCAAAGTCCAGAAGATAGGAAAACCAAAGCACAAGATTTTTCTGCAAAATAGGCAACTGATTTATCATCATTCATTAACATTACTGTGTTGCCCATGTGACTCTCTCTCTCTCCAGTTTAGCCACATACTTGCTTCCTAAGTATGTGCATCCATGCGTCTATATATCATCAATAAATGAATCTGGGAAAATACTGAGAATCTAAACTTCAGACCGATTGGATCTGAAAGCTATTTTGAACAGCAGGGTCCACTGTAACGTGTAACTCAAATGTGAGCAGGAACAGTAATTCAGGACTGATTTGAATGTAAAAAGATGTGTGCAACTAGTGAGTAGCAGAAGTAGATCTGTTTAGGCTCTGGATTCCTGGCTTCTCATCAACTAGAGACAAGCGTGCTGGTGGACTACAGAGAGCTGCCTTCCAATAGTAGCAAAGAGCAGAGTATACAGCAAGTAATAAGTATGAAATCAAAAGTAATAGGCATGAAATCAGATCTCCAGTGGTTTAGGAAACACATCCTTGAAAGCAGGGGTAGTCAACCTTGGCTCTTTTATGACTCGTGGACTTCAATTCCCAGAATTCCTGAGCCAGCTTAGCTGGCTCAGGAATTCTGGGAGCTGAAGTCCACGAGTCATAAAAGAGCCAAGGTTGACTGCCCCTGCTTTAAAGGGAGTACCGTCTTCTGCACTACCACCAGTTAATTTGAAATACAGATAGTCCTCGACTTACGGCCACAATGGAGCCCAAAATTTCTGCCGCTAAGCAAGACGGTTGATCAGTGAATTTTGCCCCATTTTACAAACTTTCTCCTCAACAGTTGTCAAATGAACCGCTGCAGTTGTTAAGTTAGCAACACGTTTTGTTAACTGAATCTGGCCCTCCCATTGACTCTGTTTGTCAGAAAGTCACAAAAGGGGATCCCGTGGCCCCGGGACACTGCAACCGTCATAAATGTGAACCAGTGTCTAAATGTTGATCTCGTGATCATGCGGATATTGCAACGGTTGTCAGGTGCGGAAAAAAACGGTCGTAAGTCAACTTTTTTTTTCCAGGGCCTTCGAACAGTCACTCAACAAGCTGTTGTAAGTTGAAGACTACTTGTACAGATTTTTATTTTCGTTATTGCAAGGCAGGTATGCTTTTTTTTTTTTTTTTTAAATGGCTCCTCTCTTTTTGCATCTCGGGAGCGTTGGCTTCCTACCTAAATTCTTTATCACGTGAAGTTGGACTATTTCCAGACTGGCTTAAGTAACCTTTTCAAAAGCATGGAACAACTGATCTGGGGCTTCGGCAGACTGTAAACACTCGAACTGTTTACTACTGACATCTGGGCAACATGAGGACACTGAATTTTATCATCCAAATATTATGACTAAGACATGGTTCAGACATGGTTCATTTGATTAGGGACCTCTCAAGATGGTCTCGTCAAAATAATCAAATGCGTATTGTGACAACACACTGCAAGCTCTGCCCTGATTTGTCTGCGATGTTATGACGCAGAAGGTGTTGGCATTCTGACATTTTAAGGCTGTGGTACCCTTTTTGTCATTTGCTGCTTTCCATGTATAAAATATAACAGTAAGATTCAGGTAATACACTACATTCAAGTGAAACAAATCAGATTTTTGACTCAGCATATATCTGAACCAAGCCAGTGTTTTAGTAACCAGTAAAATTTGTGTCTGAATAGGGTTTTGTTCAAGATCAGAATCCATGAAGCAGCCTGCTCTTAGGACTGTGTAGTAAGAGCTACTATAGAGAAGCAAACTAATAAAGTGGGGGTAAGAACCGGTTGTCTGAATTCAGAAGGCAGTGTTGTAGTGAATGGCTGTATTTCAATGTTTAGCAGCCTATTAAAAGAGAGAGAGAGACAAAACTTATG